AATACAAATTTTCTACATTTTGGCACATTACATTTATATACATGTTTAAATATGATTTCCCTATGACTTTAAAGGGCATCTTAATGTAATCATTTTTACACATTTTTATTTTTTGTTGTGTCTGGATATCATTACAATGTCTCACAAAATCATGTAAGAGAAAAAAAAAGGAGTCAATGCAATCCAAAATGCAGGTGAAGGTTGTCAAGGTGTGTTTTAGTACCTTTGGACTGCCAGAGTTGGATAACACTCTATAACACCTGTGCCTCTAAGAGGAAATTAGTGATTACCAAGTCTGCAGCTTCAGACTACAAGAATGACCTGCTTTTTGCAAGCAGTGGCTGTGAAAACCTCAGTTTTAGCCACATAACCAGCCTCTTTTTTATTTATTTGTTTTTTTTCTTTTGTGACATTTAGACTGTACAGAAATGTAATCAAATCGTTTTGCAAAGAAGATCATCTCTGCGGTCATACAAACCCTCTAATACCATCTGCAGTTAGTTTTCTCCCAGTTTGCTTCTGGTCCCTGTCATTTTAAGCTAAAACCATGAATGTGGTTGATGGACAGAAAGTTAAAATATTGATATACAATTAAAAACCCTAATCAATGTGACTCAGAAAACAAGATTTTACTAATGTTCCTTTAGAAAGCGAGTTATGCTAATATTTTTTAGAGGTGCAGCTAGATTACAGTCCTCAGTCTAATTACGATTCTATGGAGGGGACTAAAGATTAGAGTGATGGCAAGGAGGTCTTCCAACATTAAAGTTAAATTACCAAAATGCCGGTTAAGAAAAGGTTTGTATTGGAGTTTTATAAAGAGCCTGTCATTTATTCTTGGGTGGATCCGCAATTTTACTCATTTAATATAGTTCTATTATATTTCTAGATGATACAAATATGTGCTGATTGTCTCCAAAGTTGACATATTTCCTATCAAAGTCAAACTAGTTGCTTGAAAAAAAGATACTTCTGGAACCAAATCTATTACTGAAACATTTTATTTTGCTACCTAAAAAAAAAAAAAAAATATATATATATATATATATATATATATATATAAATATATATATATATATATATATATATATATTTGTTGGTTTTTTTTAACAGTGTCCTGTCTGGCAACGTGACAATAAGAATAATTGTCTTGATGCCAAAAAGAGCCCAACAGATTTTACTTTCACAAGTGTAGCAGTATGGAAATTGCCATACTGCTCCACTTGTTTCATGCATATAAATTGCTTTAATTATAATTATGCAGGGAGTTTTACAGTTTATATGGACACTGCAATGTAAATAGAACAGAAGAGGAAAAACAGAAGAAGAAAAAAAGAAAAGATGAAAGAAAGAGGAGATAGAAAAGAGACAGTGAAAAAATATGTTCAGTCTCCTTCATCACCTGCAATGAGATGCAAAAAGAACAGCACAACCGAAAGACATGGTACGAGACATACAATAAAGCAACACCATGAAACTAACACTGAAGTAGTATTATTTAATCTGACATAAAAATATTTTCTGACAGATGTCAGAAAATATTTTTATGTTCCCTTTGCAATACCCTCACGGACCACTAGGGGTACACGTACCCTCGATTGGTAAAAACTCTGAAGGGCTGGTTATCCTCCCGCAGCAGTGTGACGCAGTGAGGTTGTCGCAGGTATGATGCAGATATTTTTGATTTATGCCCAATTTTGATAGCCTCATGAGACCATCCTAATCTTGCGAGCTTTCAAGATTTCACTCGCTAATCCGTCTGGAGACTCTCCATTGAAGAAAATTCGGAGCCGTTCACCAAACGAACGTCCAATCAGCGTTGGCTTTGAGGCGGGTTAAGGTGTGACGAAACGAGAAGCGCGACAGTTCAGTCTAAAGAACATGGCGGCTTCAGCCGATGAAACTAGCGTTAGCGTGGCTATCGAGCAAGTTTTATCGGAATTACAGAGTATTTCTTCACTGAAAGAAGAGCAAAACACTGCTCTGGAGGCTTTTCTCAGAGGAAAAGATGTTTTTGCTCTTCTCCTGACTGGTTTCTGCAAGAGTTTGATCTATCAATTGGCTCCTCTTCGTCGTCGCTCTGTTAGTACGTCATATGCTTCGTTGATCTGATTGGTTTATTTGGCCCGTCTATCACCAACATAGGCCAATCAGCTAACCAGTATTTTCGCCCCTTCCGTAAATTAATTCCACCAGGTGGAAAAAGGGTCCCAGCGTTCTTGCACAGCTCACTCTTCTAGCTGATCCGTCTTCAGGAGTCGTTTTCCACAATGGCGGTCAGCAGAGTGTCTGCGGAAGGGGGATGGGGAGGCAGACGACCTGGTTTCTGAGCATAAACCAGCCTTGAGTCTAAGCATTACCCTATAGCTGCGCACCCCTTCTGAAAAATCCTTGATCCGCCCCTGGGATAGAAGTAGTGCGTTCTCTTTACTTGTGTTTAATCTCAGGTTGCCCACATTTCCAATTAAAAATAAAGTTTACAGCAGAAGTGCTCAATATATCCCTTCCTGTTTGTGAGGGGGCAGCCGCACAACCACTACATGCATCATTTATGAAAAAGTTCATTTTTTTCGGTTAGAAGAGGACCTATTTTAGTTACAGCAATAGATGGTGGGGCATTTAGTGGATGCAATAGCAATCACTACTCTACCATCCAGATTTGGAGGATGTGACTAAAAAGGTTGTTTTTTTTTATGTAACATGGTTTCACCACTAAAAAAGCAGAAGTAAAAATTCTTATTATTAGTCTATTTGCCCTTAATATGAGCAGGTAGATGAGTGGGATGGGTAGTTTTGCACTTAAAATAAGATAGTTGCGTGTTTGTGTTTATGGCACTAGTGGTTCGTTTTTCTGACAGGAAATGGGTATGAGAGAGAGGGAGACGCAGCAAAGGACTACAGGCCAGATTCGAATCCGGGTCGGCCACATTTAGGACTCAGGCTTCCGTATATGGGTCATGAGCACTAACCACTGCCCCACCTCTACGCCCAAGATGGATGAATTTTCTGCACTTAAAATATGATAATATAGTTGCATTTTTCTTGAAAGCAACTTTCAGTCCAGGTTTCACCACGCTTGGAGGTATACACTGGAAAAAAATCCAGATCTAGATAAGTCATTTTTTTCTTAAAATAAATGCATTTGTTCTTGGATTGAGGAGTTAAAAGAGACATTTTGCCAATGGAACAACACTGGAAAAACATTCCAGAAATAAGCAAAAATTTCTTAAATTAAGTGTATTTACCCTTAATTTGAGTAGGTAAATGAGATAGTTTGAGTATTTTATACTCTTAAAATAAGTTAATTAGATAATATGCACTTAAAATAAGACAATGTAATTGTGTTTTCTTATTTTAGGTGTAAATTGTCTTGTTCCATTGGCAAAATCGCTCTTTTACCTCCTCAAACCAAGAACAAATGCACTTATTTTAAGAAAAAATTACTTATCTAGATTTTGATTTTTTTCCAGTGAAGACAACTCTTAAAATAGGAACACACAACTGCATTGTCTTATTTCAAGTGAATATTATCTCGTCGTTGTCGTCGTCGTCTCCCGCTTTATCCGGAACCGGGTCGCGGGGGCAGCAGACTAAGCAGAGACTCCCAGACTTCCCTCTCCGCAGACACCTCCTCCAGCTCTGCTGGGGGAAGCCCTAGGCGCTCCCAGGCCAGCCGAGAGACGTAGTCTCTCCAGCGTGTCCTGGAATATTATCTAAATATCTTATTTTAAGAGTAAAAATACTGATTCCATTGGCAAACTTCCTCATTTACTTACTCAAATTAAGGGTAAATAAACTTAATTTAAGAAAGTTCTACTTATTTCTACATCGTTTTTCCAGTGTAGGAAAGGTTTTTTCAGATCCGAGTACATCACTTGGCCCGTATAAGTCCTCTTTGCTGGCTGCTCTTCTCACAAACTTGCCTATATACGGTGAGAGGGTCAGATCCATCAATGAATGGGTGATGTGACCCAGAGCAGCGCTT